AGATATACTGGCCCTAGAGATATACTGGCCCTAGAGATATGCTGGCCGTAGAGATACAATGGCCTTAGAGATACAATGGCCCAAGAGATATACTGGCCCTAGAGATATACTGGCCATAGAGATATACTGGCCATAGAGATATATTGGCCCTAGAGATATACTGACCGTAGAGATATACTGGCCGTAGAGATATACTGGCCGTAGAGATATGCTGGCCGTAGAGATATGCTGGCCGTAGAGATATACTGGCCCCTAGAGATATACTGGCCGTAGAGATACGCTGGCCGTAGAGATACGCTGGCCGTAGAGATACGCTGGCCGTAGAGATACGCTGGCCGTAGAGATACGCTGGCCCGTAGAGATATACTGGCTGTAGAGATACACTGGCCCGTAGAGATATACTGGCTGTAGAGATACACTGGCCCGTAGAGATACGCTGGCCGTAGAGATACACTGGCCCGTAGAGATATACTGGCTGTAGAGATACACTGGCCCGTAGAGATACGCTGGCCGTAGAGATACGCTGGCCGTAGAGATACGCTGGCCGTAGAGATACGCTGGCCGTAGAGATACGCTGGCCGTAGAGATACGCTGGCCGTAGAGATATACTGGCTGTAGAGATATGCTGGCCGTAGAGATACGCTGGCCGTAGAGATACACTGGCCCTAGAGATATACTGGCCCTAGCGATATACTGGCCCCTAGAGATATACTGGCTGTAGAGATACATCAGTGGGGCTCTAATCAATCATGAGTAATTTCTCAGCACATACTATCCTCGATGACTGTTGTCACAGCTGACTAAATACTCATAACTGTTAGACAAAACTTTACTTGAAAAAAGACCAGACTAAACTTTTGATGTTAAAACCCAGACATGACATTTCTGTTGTAAATGTTCCTCTTGCAGCATGAAGGGAAGCCGTACTGTCACAAGCCCTGCTACGCCGCGCTCTTTGGACCAAAAGGTAAGCACAATCCACGTCACACCCCCAACAATAAATCTAAACGTTTCTCAGATTAACCCTTTCAGGTTGGAGTTCTAAACTCTTCGAACTGGGACAATGAGAACGGGCCAAGTTACAGATGTTTGGCCCGATTTCATTAAATAGTGCACAACGTGTCGGTGCACTGTGTGTCCGCTGCGACCACACCAAACTTGAACCCAGTGGCTGGAATCCTGATTAAGGCAGCCATCTTATGTTCGTCAGGTGGATTAGCTGTGGCAGCCATCTTTAACTGGGTTGCCTCTGAAAGTTCACAAGTTTTCTGAGAGTTTCATTCAAACTCACGGACAGAAGAACGAGCTCACAGGCGGCGGCAACAGTGGATAAAAATGTCTAAGTGCCAGACGGGTCGCTGTGGGACCTGCTGGGTCATGAATGTCTGCGTCGCTCAGAGAAGCTGAAGACGTTTAGTTGAGGCTGTAAACACTCAGTTATCAGCTGCTGAAGGTTTGTCCCATTCTTCTCGTCTTTCAGGGTTCGGGCGTGGTGGGACCGAGAGCCACACCTATAAATAAACAGGTGCTGATCCGCACGTGCACTTGTTCACGTCCTACATTTTCATTTGATTTACATGAGACTGTAAAAATTATACATCCGTCTTCGCTCTGTGGACTGTTCAGACTTTTTTTTGTTTGTTTGGCAGGTTCAGGCTCCACGGTGTGAAACATTCGCTGGAAATAAATGTTTGAAATCATTAATGAAGCTCTTTTTTCTTTCTAAGCATTTTGTTGATATTTTAACATTTTAATTATTTTGCAGTCCCATATTTAGCCATGGGATGGATTTTTATTGTCCAACCTCAATAAAGAGTTTGTCAAAGTTGTGTTGATCTTTCTTGTCGTCTTTTCTCGTGTGCTCGTGGAAGCAAACAAGTCACGAACCAGTGAACAGATTTCAAGGTCACATTCAGAAAATAATCCTTGAATTGAGACTCAATCACTTCTGAGGTGAACCGATTTAAAATGATCTTCACCGATCAGGAACAGGTCGGTCCCAACAATATTCTAAAGGGTCACCCAAGATATGTTTATAAAACTTTGAAAATCAACTTTGTTAGCAAAATATTTCCCTAACCATAATTTGAGCTTTACACTTTGGGGAAAGTTTGTCTAAAAATTAGTAATAAATGTAGGCGTTAACATTAAGATGTACCAAAACTCTGCTCCTACTCATGAAATGATCTTAATTTAAAATTGGTGCGTTCCTACCAGGCGCACTGAGCAGATCATCTTTCAGCAGTAAATTCATCGTCTTACTGCACCGAGGGATCGTCTTTCAGCAGTAAATTCATCGTCTTACTGCACTGAGCGATCGTCTTTCAGCAGTAAATTCATCGTCTTACTGCACTGAGCGATCGTCTTTCAGCAGTAAATTCATCGTCTTACTGCACTGGGCGA